TGATGATGATGCTATAGCCTTTCTTTGTGTATTACACTGTATTTTATAATGACATTTTGAATTTTTCAGTTGACATCAGTGCCTGTTATGGACCGCAATTCAAAACAACCAGAACCTGATGTAGAAGGGTGTGAGGCTGATGAGCTGGCTTGTCAGTTTGCAGATTCATTTTATTCAGCACTGAACCACCATGACGTGTACCATCAGGGCACACAGCTATATGAGCATTTCTGGCAGGACTGTAAAATGCAGTTACTTTTAAATTCTGAAGTGGGTTATATAGCTGAAGCAAGAACCGGGGCACTTGATGTTGTGCAACTCATCTGTAATACCAAAATTGAGCACAACATATTTTTCAGTCCAAATGTGGAAAATAAAGGTGTTAGTGGAAAGATAGATAAATTTGGTGTGTTCAGGGTTAGCGCATATGGCATACTGCATCAGCAAAATAAATGTTTTGGAGAATTTGAACAGTGGTTTCAGCTCATAAGGGATCCCTCTGCTGGTAAGGAATGGAAAATCGCAAATACAGACCTACATGGATGGACTAAATAATACCCACACTGATATATATATATATATCTTTTATACACAGTTTTTATAGAAAGTTATTTTTCAGTTATGTTTATTAATTAAAATATTATTAATTTATTTTTTACTTTATGTATGTTAATCGATTAAAGTAAGTGATTTTGATTATGTGACTCGTGTAATTTTGTATATGTATCTTGATATATCTATTTTCAAAGGGACCATTTCCACGTCCTAGCTTTGTTACCTGTATGGATATATGGAGAATGAATGAATGAATGAATGAAAGTTCCAAAATCCATTATTCATGAGTTGCAATCTCTATTCCCACCAGAGCAGACAAAATACACTGTAAAACGAGGCACCGACCAAACAGTTAATATCAAATAATATTACACCAATACAACGGGCCTCCAAGCAGTTAACTATACTTGTACAAGTCACGAATGGAGCTGAGCCCTTCTTGAGAAGCCGCCAATTGTGCAGATACTCAAGAATTTCCCAGCATCTCATGAAACCCGAAGGTGCCATTAAATAATGTTACTCTTTTTGCCAATCTGTTTTGTACCAAAATAATGATGATCGTCCAGACTTGGGGTCACCTGAAGCAATGCCCTGAGGACTGATCTGTACTGACCTTTTATACTCTCCAGAATGTTTCTTCTTTGGAGAGAGGTGCATTTGAACACTAAACTGCCAAAACTCTCAAATGCAGGAAATTTAAAATGGAGACAGATAATACTGAAACTGAGTATTCAGTGAAGGAAAACATTAATCAGATAAACGTGAACTGATGGTTCTACTATAATCAAATGAGAAAACAAAAAGTATCTAATGGGGCACATA